CCACTCGCGCTCTCCGAGGTGCTGAAGTCGTGGCCCGCGCGGCCCCCAGGCTTTGGCCTACTTTCACCCTAAATCACACACGGATTTCTGTCTCCTGCCCCTTCCGCAAAGCGCCCCTCCTCCCCTGCCTTTTCGGGCGCTGCTAGTAGGAGGGGGTGGGCCTAACGTCCAGGTATCAGGTAACGAATTTCGGGACCAGGGACCTTGCGCCCTACTTGGTCCCCTGCAGCAGCCAAAGAAGGCGGACTGGAAAGGCGGCAAGTGGAAGAAGACAAAGGTGAGAAGGTGTCCGGAGCGCGCTCCTAGAACAGACAGGTTTGGAGTCTGGCCCCCCAAGTGAACAGGTGATGTGGTCTTGCATTAGTGACCTAACAATCCTAAGGTTTGCTTTTCTCATCTGGGAATGGGAACAATAATGGTTCCTCACGTGGTTGTTCTGGGGGTTGAAATGTAATATTAATGTATTGTAAGGGAGGCTGAAAAGAGCCCATCTCCTGTGGGGTTCAGGTCACACCCCATCCTGTCCCCTTACCTTCAGGAGGCCCTCCGAAGGACTCTACCTAGAGGGTCTTCTCTCTAAAGATTGACCCAAGCCCCATTTCAGCCCCAAACAGCTACTAATGGTGAACTAAACCCTTCCTCGTGGCTTCTGCCTCAGCTTCTCCTTTTCCATGTCAGGATGTTCCCAGATTTCCCCCCTTTTCTCAACATCTCACTGCAGCTCCTGCAGAGCATCCCTCTTTTGTACCCATAGACACCCTATAGCTGGCTTCTCATATTCTTTTTTTAAAATATATTTTTATTTATTTCAGAGAGGATGGGAGAGGGAGAGAGAAACATCTATGACGAGGGAGAATCATTGGTCAGCTGCCTCCTGCACGCCCCCAAGTGGGGATCGAACCAGCAACATAGGCATGTGACTGGTAATCAAACTGTGACTTCTGGTTCATAGGTCAACGTCAACCATTGACAGCCAGGCATGGCTTCTCACACTCTAAGACTCTGGGCCTTTCCTTCTACGCCCTCCCCACCCCCAGTTACCTTGTTGTGATTCTTTTGGTGTTTTTTGTTGTTGCTCCCTCCAGCACCTCTATCCATATCAGGTTTAGGCTGTGATTTGTTTCTTCCTGGTCTTCTCTCCCCTAAGGCTAGTTCTGCAAGTTCTGTCACAGAGCATGGATTGCTGGACATGCAGGCTGCTGGCCGAGGCTAGGGCCCCAGCTTTGGTGGGTCATAGAGCTGCTAGCCAAACCTCACTGGCTTCTCTGGCCACTTGAGACAACCAGACAGGTCCTGTCCTTCACCCCTCCCTGAAGAAGGGACGGAGCGAACTGTTTCACGGTTTGTGGAACCCTGTTTACAAACCTGGACTGCCAACTGGTTAATCACCCCCTTTTCCTTCAATGTAGCACCCAGAAAAGAGCTGCAGGCACCAGGCCTTCAGCAAACAACCCCCAGCTCCAGCCCCAAGAACAGATACCCCATACATGGAGCCAAAGGCCTTGGTTTCCCTGCCCCAGGCCCAGAGGAATGGCCACTTTACCTTTCCTGCTATCGTGGCCCAGACTCCTTTCACTGTGCCCAAACAGTTACCACCTACTGCTATGGTGCCTGGCTTTTCCTCCCAGGAAAGCAATCTTACCATCACAGCTAATGATTGTTCCTTAGAGTGTGTGTTTGTCTCAAATAGGAGGCATCTCAGGTTAGGAGTGTGTGTGTGTGTGTGTGTGTGTGTGTAGGAAAACTCCATCTTCCAGAACATTTTTCTCAGGAACAAAGGTATCCCTTGTTCTTAGCTCCCGAGGCTAAGCCAAGGCCACATTACATAGAAGCCAGGAGAAGGGAGAAAGGGAAGGGGGCCACCGGGGGCTTCAAAGCAGAGCCAAGAATGAAACAAGTCCCAGGGTCAAGTCCCTCCCTTTTTCCCTTCTCATTCTATGCAGGGCAGCTTGTGATATGCTTGGTCCTTGCCTGAGTCCCTTCCCACAGGAAGTTGGTGTGTGGGCTAATGTTCTCACTTCCATTGGTCACAGGAAAGCCCATGAACACTGCACAGAGAGAACCACTCTGGTCAGATGGCATGAGACAATCAGCATCCAGGCCCTGGTCTTGGCAGTGGGCAGATCTCGGCCACCTAACCAAAGCCAGAGGGCGTGCATCCCTTCTGCACCACACAGCTTTGGATTAGAGGTGGAGTTGAGGTAAAGGATGGACCAAGGGCCTGACTGATCCCCAGCCTGGGGGGTTTAAGCAGACCAAAGGCTGGGCCCATGCAGAGAGCACTCAGGAACCTCATCCTGGGCCTAGAGTGCTCCGTACCATCCTGGCTGATTGACCCCCAACACTGACAAAGATCTGGTGCTCCAATTGCTCACCTAGGAGTCTCCTCCTTCCTCTCTCTCCCCAACCCCACCTCCCAGGAGCGGTGAGAGGCTCCTGGTTCCAGCAGAACCAAGATGGTCTGGCTTAAGGCTTCGCTCAGGCTCAGCCTTACTCTCCGTCCTCGGACCTCCCACAAGATTGACGACAGCACAGCTTTGCTCAGACAGGATCAGACGTTTATGAAACAAGTGAATGTTCACAAACTGTGGGAGAAACACACTTTCCCAGCAACAGAAAATCTCTATATAAAGTGCATTTAGCCTGTGACCATCTCTTCCCCTGCTGGCCCTTGGATCAGGATTTGGGGCAACGCTCTGCAACAGCCCCCAGGGACACCTGGGCCAGGAGAGGGGAGGCACAAAGCCATCACGGAACTCCAGGCCACTGGATGCACCCTTTCCTCACCTCACTCCGCCCAGCTCCTGGAGTAGACCACTCTATTCCACTGGGAATGGGCCAGCATACCAGGGATGATGAAGTAGGGGTACGTGGTCTGGCCAACTTATACCTTAGGGAAGAGAGCCATCATGAAATAGGCAGGAGAGGGGGCTCATCCTGATATGTGAAGGTGCTGCTAAATAAATATGACCTGGCCCTAAGCCCTCTGGCTTTCTCAGCTTTTCAGACCAGCCCTTCCAGGCTTGCTCTAGTCCCCTTCTGGCAACAGTCCCCAGTTCTCTTTCCTCCTGGCTGGGGCTTAGGGAAAGGTTTCAGATACACACCGTCACTTGTGCCCTGCTCCCCCACAGGATACGGGACAGTTCTAGTGAGGGTGACATACATACAACAGTTGGACTCTAGAGGCAGCTCTTTGGCTGAGCGAATCTCAGGAAGAAGCCTGTCAGTGTGCTGGACAGCTAACGGGGCTGGGCCTGAGCCCAGGGTCTGGTCCCAGGACAGAGGACAGTGAGGGACAGGGCTGGGGCCCAGGGAGTTAACAGCTAGGAGGCTGGGAAAGGTCACAGGGAGGTAGAGGAGAAGGCCCAGAGGCCAGCTTAATGTTACATGTAAAGACAAAAATCCAAAGGAATTAGCCTCTCAGCTATGAGTGCGCGCGCGCGCACACACACACACACACACACACACACACACGCACACACACTCATACTTTGTGGCTCAAGTACAGGCCACAGGGTGGAAAGAAGACTTGCTGCAGCTGACCAGTCCTTCTTTCCATTATTTTTCTCAAGACAGGCCTTCGACAGTGGGAGGCTGAGGTGGGAGGCACAGGCCACTCCTGGAATGTAAGGACTTTGTTTCTCTGGGTCAAGCCTCCCGCCTGCTGCTTCTGGTGTATTGGATTGGTCTGCTGGGTGGGCTCTCTACTTAGACCTTAACCAACTGTGCCTGGCAGTCCCCACCTGAGTTCATCTGCCTGGGTCCTTGGCACCCAGCTCCCGGCAGGGCTAACATGGCAGCTTGGAAGCGGATCAGTCCTGGGCAGGCTGTGGCAGCCTGCAGAGCAGACTAGAATGGCTCCCCTGATGGGTATCAGCTGGCCTCAATGGCAGCATTGTGGTTCCTGGAGTGTGGCCAGAGGAGCCAGGATGCTGGCCTCCTCCTGGTGGAGGCCCTGGGTCTCCATGATCAGCTCTGAGGCTGGCTCTCAGCTTCTAGGGAAGGAGCAGTGAGAGTTGGGTTACTATTTCTAACCTTAGGTTGGGAGCCCCACAAGGTGGATGCACTTCCTAGGCTCTGTCTACAGTACCGGCCGTGCACACAGGTACTGGCGTACTTCTGTACGATGTAAAGTTTACAGATCTGCCCACAGCCTTGTGCTCTGTCCTAGATGCCTGAGGAAGGGTCTGGAGGACCCAGTGACAGGGAATTTTTAAAAAAGAAAGAAACCAAGCCAGGGGACTGTGTCCAGGGTCAGGAGGAGCTCAGCAGGGCTCTGGCCGCCTCTAGAATCCCATGCTCTGGATAAGAGCCAGAAATGTTGCCCTCCTGCTCCTCAGTCTGATGTGAGGAGGGAGGGAGGGAGAAAGGGCTGGGGGAGGGGCAGATGCTGGAGTCCCAGCTATGGCCCTACTCTTCTGTTTAGACAAGGCAGCTGGCTCGTAGGGACAGGTGGTGGCTGAAAATCACAGCCCTGACCTCTAACCTGGTGTCTGAAGGCTGAGGTGAAGCTGCTACAGGTACCTCTCCAGCCCAGGCAGTGTTCAGAATCACAAGAGTGTAAACAGATGCATGCACATGCAAATAGGCACACACTCCTTCCTCTGCACGCACACACACACACGTTCGCTTGATCTGTCAATGATCAGCTTTTCTGCCGGTTGCTCTCTGCTGCCATGGTGGCTGTTCGGGCACCCAGGCTTTGCTCACGGAGCCACAGCGCTGCAGCTGAAAGAGAAAAACAAGTGTTAAAAGGAACATTCAGGAGGCTGCTCAGTTGCCCAGGGACACAAGCTCCTCTGTCTGCTGCTCTGGGGATGCTCAGACTGAGAACTGGGCCACAGAGCCCAGGGACAAGGTTGTTGCTGGGATGCCACTGGGTGCCTGAACACTTCCCCTCTGAGGAGGAGGAGGAGGAAGAGGAGAGGGAGGAAGAGAAGGCCATGTGAGGGTCATATGAGGCCTTTGGGATACTGCTCAGATATGACAAGGGCAGTTTCTGGACCGAGGCAGAAGTGGCTGCTGCCAGAAATGGAGAGTCAGAAAAAAATGGCTCGAAGAGAAATCAGCTGGTGACAGTAATTTTGAAGATGAAGGCAATGGCTGTGTTTAGGAATTTCCACATATGGGTACCAGAACCCTGGTACTGTGCTAGAGGTTGAGGGGAGAAGAGAGGAGACACAAGGACTAGGCTGATGGACAATCTCCTGGACTATGAGGCAAGAAACAGGCACTGACCTCTACATCCCTGCAGTGTCACTGGGAATTACTGCCACAACCTCTCAGCTGGCTCTCTCCCGCCCCCATTTCCTCTGTGGGTCCCAGCCCAATGCCTGGTCCATCTTCCAAAAATGCCAGTTTTATCATTTCACTCTCCTGTTCCAAAAGCCTTTAGCTCCCAGAGAGTAAACCAAGAAATTACCCGCCTGACATTTAAGACACTCCATGATCTGATCCACCTATAACCTTATGTTCTTTTGAAATAATGATAACAATATCTATCTTCATTATCATTCTCCTCCTCCTCATCATCATCATTGCTACCATTTCCTATGCAACACGTGTGTCTTATGCAACACTCCTGGCTGTGCACACTTCCTGGCTAAGAGAACCCAACTTTTGTTCAGTGGGTCATGGGCGTGGGCCTGGCAAAGACATGGATCGTGGTTGGTCTACGTCAGTGAGTCTCAAAGTTCAGTCCAGAACAGCATCATCAACTGCTGGGAACTTGTCAGAAATGCAAATTCTAAGGTCCCGCCCCAAACCTACTGAATCAGAAACTCTGTGGGTGGGGCCCAGCAATCTGTGGCTTAACACATTCTCCAGAGGATTCCATTGCTCACTCAAGTTGAAAAGCCAATGGTCTAAACTAATCTGGACAAAAGCAGGATTGGGTGACTTTTTTACTTAGTTCTGGCTCTTGAGACCAATGTGAAACACCGGGGAGGGTATTCTGAGAAAGCTTCTATTTTCTTGATAAAATGAAGAGAGGCATCCACACTGTATCACATTTATATGTCTTATGCTCCCCTTTCTCACACACCTGTTGGCAACAATTTCATGCTGAATTTCAGGCTTACTGAGCAACCTTGATCTAGACATTTAACCTCTCTGTTCTTTGGTCTTCTCACCTAAAAGTCGGAATATTAGCCTGGCAAGTTTCAGATTTGTAAAATGGGATGAACTTTGCTTAGTATCACAGGGCTAAGAGATAACTGAGAGAGCGGTATCTAAGGCTGCTGGTGCTCCTAGAACAAGATAGCAAAAATCTGTCCACCAGCAAAGAGCCTGGTGGGGCAAAGAGCACAAACATCAAACACTTGCTGTCTCACCGCATTCAAGCCTGGATGCTCAAACCAGCAGGCCCTGCCCAGCCCTGAAGCAGAGGGGTTTGGGAATAAGAATCAATGGGCTCTATGGAGCCAATCACCCTCCAACCTCAGGGTACATAAGGAACAGGCTGAGATGATGACTCAAAGAGGACAATAACTTACATTTCTCCGAGAAAGGCACAAAAGGCTCTTCCTGCTCTAGGGAAGGAGGAAGCAGGTTTGCTTTTTAAAAAAACAGCTTTCAGGAGGTTTCCAAGAAAGATGAATGCTAAGAGGAAAGCACAGAGCCAATGCCATGAGAAAAGTGAGAATGGAGGAGTGGCTGTCAGAGGCACGGAAGAGGGGAGCTGGGGCACTAGTCCTTGGGGGGGCGGGGCTAGGCTGAGTGAGCCTCTCTTCTGAAGGCCAGTGCTGCCCTCCCCTGGCCTGCCTATAGAACGCAGCCTATGGGGTGATGGCAGAGGGGCCTGGAGCATCCTCAGACCCTGCCACAGGGCCAGTTCTCCCACAGCTTCACATCCGGTCTCTGCTTTCTTTTTGTTAGATTTGACTCACTTTGAAAAGTAGAAAGAGACCTTCCTCCCCAGTTTTTCCCCCTTAGCTGGCAAAGAAAGAGCTTTACTTTAAAATTTCCTTTTACATTTTAGAAGGTATAGAAGTCAGAATGGTAGAATTTTTTATCTGAAATCCTAAAAAATCATGCAGCCCCCTCCCACCAACTTTTAATCTAGTTTGCTGGGTTTTAGCCTTCAGTTAGAAGGGAAGTAGTTTTGCACACCTACCCCCACCTCTCTCCCACCTTCCCTCCTGAAGCTGAATGTCAGTAGCTGCCACTCACTCTCAGACATCCCTGCTCGTCAGCTCCGCGGCGGGCAACTCTGCCACCCTGGCCCGTTTGCTGAGTTCTTCACCAGGCGGCTCCTCAGCTGCTTCCAGTTTGCGCTTGGGGGATGCTGGGCCACTGGGGAGTGGTTTGGGGCCTGTGGGGAAGCAGATCAAAGTGTCACACAGGCTGTGTGTAGAGCCAAGATGACCTGAAACCGTATAGTGGTAGCTCTTTAGGGGCAGGAGCCTATCACCAATGCAATGCGGCTCCTCAGGCCTAACCCCTGACCTTCCTTTCAGCAATGACCTCGCCTGGAAAGGTTCAAGGAGAGCACGACCAGGCCTGCTGGCAGCAGAGCCAGCTTTGGGGCCCAAACCTCTGGGCTCCAGGCCTGATTTGGCCTGTCTGCTGTCCTTGCTCTGAAGGTGAGGAATTCCCTCTGCGACCCTGGATGTGCCTCCTGAAGCAGGAATGAGCAGTGCCCTGCCCCAGCCTTGCTGAGTAAACTAGAAAAGGCCCCGGAGTTCTTGCCAATCTCACCTCATGGATCTTCACCCAGAGCCCAGGGAGGAAGATAAGAATGCGGCAAGTCTGTCTACTTCTCTCCTCTCCTGGCACCACTGGGCCATGCTGCCACCGCCTGCCCTCTAGCCTCCCTGTACTCACTCCTGCCCACACTGTCCCGCCACAGAGCAGGCAGAATGCGCTTTGTAAAACATAAATCAGATCACACCCCACCCTGCTGACCATCTGTCAGTGCCTTCTCAGTGTGTTGATGACAATCCGAATGCCCCTCATGGACACCAAGCCTGCACAATGCTGCTCCCGCTACATCTCATCCTCTTCTCTCTCATTCCAGCTCCTCACTGCGGACATGCCAGCCGCACTGGCCTCCCTACCTTTGTTTCTTGAATGGACTAAGCTTGTTCCTATCTTGTTCCTATTTCTTGCGTTTCCCTTTTCTGGGAATGCTCTTCTCTGTTCTTGGAAAGGCTGGCCCTGCTCACTACTTGATCCCTATTCAGAGATGTGCTCCCTGATTACTCCGCTCTAAGCTAACCCGCAGTAACCCCCTGCCCCAGCCTCTCTCCTATCAGGTCACTCAATGTCCTTTTCCCAGAAGCACTGATATCTGAGATGATCTGCATGGCCCTTTACTCTGTCCGCCCCAAGGGCACTAGAAGCTCCACTGGGGCACAGATTCGTTCTGGCCTTTGTCATCAGCCCTCAGTGACGGAGCTGGTGGTGGTCCTGAGTGCCCTCCGGATGGGTAAGGCCGCAACAGGCCAGCTGCTACTCACCTGCACTGCTCATGCTCCCGGTCTGGCTCAAGCTGGGCTCTGCCACCGGGTTGCTGAGGTCTTCCATGCAGGACGGGACAGATGCCAGCAGACCTGGGAGAGGCAGGGGAGCCATCAAAATACACTCTCTCAGGACTGCAGAGAGCTGCAGGGGTGAAAACAAGATGGGGGATTCTGGGCCATGACACTGAGGTTCCATCTCTCCCCTGACTACTCAGAGGCCTGATCCAGCCCAGCTGCCGTCAATGTAACAGCCTGGAAGACAGCACTCAGTCTCCTTGGACAAATATCTGGAAATCCCTCCCTAGGCCCCCCAGCCTACAGGTGCTGCCCTTCCTTTCAGTGACTTGGGGGCTGGCAGGGGAGTAGGGGCTCCTTACAGAGTCCCCGGTAGCGAGACAGCTGCTGGTAAATCTGCTTCATTCGCTCAATGTTGAGCCGGCTGGTCTCGGCATGGTTGACGATGGGCCGTGGGTAGTCCACACCGATGATGCACTTGGCTGCCTTCTGAATGGACTCTGGGGCATTCCAGGGCTCATAGATATATCGAGAGGGGAACCCCTTCAATTTGGGCAGGTATCGCCTGAAACACACACACCAGACAACCCATCAGAACACCAGACCCTCCGTCAAAGGGTCAAGGGTATCCCATCCTAGGAGGCCACAGTGGCCAGTGGCCAGAGAGCTGGTCTACATCCTCACCTGATGTAGTCGCCACTGGGGTCCGTGCGGCGGCCGAAGCCCACCGGACAGTAGCAGTGGAAGAACTGCTGGAAGAAGGCGCTGCAGGACAGCCACATCCAGCTGCCCGCGTTCACGCTGAAGTCTGCGTCCAGGAGCAGCTCATCAAACACCTAGATGGGCGGGTGGGACTTCAGCCGACCTGAGTACCAATTGCCATGGTTCTCCCCAAGCCACCACATGCCCCGTGGAGAAGAGCCAAAGCCCTTCTGCTGGACAGCCCCATCTAGGCCCTCTGCGCCTGCAAGGAGGACTTGGAGGGGATATCCTGGACCCAGGGATCCCACCCCATTCCCCAGCCCAGAGGGGGCTGCCCTTGGCCGGGCCCCACGGAGAGGCACTCACCCGGAACCCGCTCTCCCAGCTGACCCAGAGGTCCCCGCGGGTGAGGAAGCAGGCCACGGCGTGCCGGGCCAGGTGGTGGATCCAGCCCTCCTGCCTCAGTTGGGTCATGATGGCGTCGATCCAAGGGAAGCCTGTCTTGCCCTCGGCCCACTTGGCCAGGGCCTCAGGGTTGCGGTCCCAGGGGATCTGGATGCAGATGGGGTTCCCCTCCATGCGGTCAAACCTGGGGTTGTTGGTGGCCGCCGTGTAGAAAAACTCTCGCCACAGGAGTTGCCCAAACAGGGAGAGGGGGGGTGAGCTGTTCCGCTTCACCTGGGGTGGGAGGAGCCGGGGACATAAATGCTTGCCCAGCTCTCATCACGTGTCCCCAGTCCTCTCCCACAAAGGAAGTTGGAGCTACCATGAACCTGGTTGCTCCAAACTCCCTAGACATGTGAGGGACTATCCCCTCCCGAGCATGTCAACCAGCAGGCCTTGAGTTTGACATGCTTGTGATGCACACAGTGTGCCCACAGGCTTAACCCAGGCCCGGCTGTGCTCTGCTCTGAGCAATGAGAATGGCTGCGTAGAGGTGGGCAGTGGAAAAGGATATCACTGACGAACTCCGAACTAGGAACCAAACTCCCCAGACTGGCTCATAATCCTCATCCTCAGGGGCCCCTGTGTGGCTCTGCTTTCTAGAATGTCAAAGGGGCTTTCTCATCACCACGTATAAAAACTGCTCAGTCTAGATTTTGGTTACATAAGTTATATATAATAGACTGGATCTGGGGCCATGAGGAAATTAGAAGATCAGACCTCCAAGCAAATCATGATTTTCATAAAATCAGAAGATTACCCACTAAACCATCAAAGCCACCCTGTGCCACAGAATCCTGCTATTGGCCAGGACGGGGCAATGTGAAACAACGCAGAGGCTGAACAGTTGCTGTGCTGCCCACTCTCTGTCTGGGGGCACTACCGCAGGATCTGCCTACGGTCTGTATGGCACAGCCTGCATGCAGCCCCCCAGGCCCTCTCATCACTGATGGGCAGCAGCCACTCCTGAACTTCCCCTGTTGATGCTCTGGACACAAGCCCAAGAGGGCCACTGTGCTCTTCGGCTGAGGATGGGCTCCAGCCTCGCCCTCCTGCCTCCCCCCACCCCCTGCTTGCCCCTGTCCACCTGCTGCCAGCAGATCTGCCACCTCTATGGACACACTGAGGTTGGCTTTCTGCCTGTCCTGTTCTGGCTGGTAGCCTGATTTTATGTGGATCAGCAGTTTGGGTTGTGCTTGGCTCCGCAGGTTCTTGAATGCGGACTCTTCCCCACCTTCTCTGACACAATGCTCACGTAAGCACCTCCAGGATCCACAACCCAGCCCCACCCCCAGGACCAGAGGCAAGGTCCCTTTCTAGGGTGACTGAATGGCCTGGAAGGCCCTGATCCAAGCGGCTGCAACTGGGAGTAGACGGGCTGCCCTCACCGAGTGCTCACCTTTTTATACAGGTCCCACAGGCGGTAGTAGAAGAGGCGGCAGGAGAGGCAGCCAAAGCGCAGGTAGGGGCTGAGGCCTGTGGGGCTGGCCAGCAGGGAGTTGGCGTTCATTCGGGGTCTCTCATAGTTGGCAACCCAGGCCTGCATCGAAAGAGAAGGAGAAGAAAGGAAAGGCCTGATGTTACAGAGGGAAAAGCTGAGGCACTAGCTGGTTAAGGTCACAGCACAGAAAGCCAGGAGCCAGGACTTGAACACTGCACACATTTCACCCCTTCATGATAGTAGAATTTTCGATGGGACCACCATTAGGCCAACCAATGAGGCCCAAGTTCTTGTCCTGACTCTGCTATTTAACTTGTGGGATGATGGTGAACAAGTTTCATTCCTCAGCTACATATCTATTAAATGAGAACACATTTCCCACCTCCTGAGGATTAAATAAGATGACAGACATGAAAGAATTCTGTAGGCACAGAATGGTCTGTGATTAGAAGAAAGGAAAAGAGGCTTCCACTTTACAGAAAAAAATATCCCACTCATGTCATAGGGCTGCTGAGGCTGCGGCTGCATTGCGGCCACCCAGGGACCAAGTCTATAGACGAGCTGCAGGGAGCAGGAAACGAGGAGCTGACTGCTCTGTCATGAGCACCCTGGTGCCAGGTGCCAACGTTAAGGAGTGCCTCTGGGACCTTGGCCCCTCGCCTTCCCCTTGTCAATTCCCACTGCACTGGGAGGTGCGCCTTTGTTCTCTGTGTCCAAGCAAATAGAAATCCATGCCCTGAAAAGGACGCAGCAAGAGGTGGGGGGCACATACACACAAAATAATTAATCTCATGGACTTTCCTGATCCAATACCCTCTTAGGAAGGAGAACATGTCCACAGATGAAAGAAAGCAATCTAACAAAAGTTTTAGAATCACACAGAACGAGATCTTACTCTACCACTTACTATGTGACCTTAGGCAAGTTTCATAATCTCTCTAAGCCTTAATTTCCTAATCTACAAAATGGAGAGCTGAATACCTACCTCATAGGGCTGTTGAAAGAGTAAAGGAGATAATGCAAGCAGGTACTTAACCCAGATGTGCTCAGCCTGGTGCCCAGCAGGTGGTAAGCACCCAGGAAATGGCAGCTGCTGTTATTGCTGTCCTTGCTATGGCCAGCAGGAAGACTTTTTATTTTTCAACCACTTTGAGCTAAGAGGCACCAAGAGACGTGAACCTACCCCATATTCCCCACTGCATGGTGCCAGCATCTGAAGCTCTGGGTCTCAGAAAGGGGACCATACCTTCCGTTCCAAGTGCTTGTCCAGGCGGGCCAGAGCTTCCGTCTCTCCTCCTTGCCAAACAGCTGGGCCAAGTCCTTCGGTGGGGAACCCTACAAGGGGAGGAGCAGGTCACAGGATTGGAGGTCAGCTTTGCCAGTGTTAGCTCAGCAGGTCTTGGCACATTGGTCTGCTCTTTGAGCTTTGCAAGAACTGAACTGTGGGTTCTTGATGCTACTGGGGCTGAGGTAATTCTTAATGTTCCAGTGCTTTCTAGGTCATCCTGGTTCTCTTCCCACTGTGACTTCTCCCTCTCCTCTCCCTTGCCTTCCCTTCCCAGCTACCCTTCCTCCCAGGCAGATGAGACAATCCTGGACTACTCGCCCTTTCAGGTTCGCTGACAACAACTGCAGTATTCAGGTGTGAAAGCTAACTTTGTTCAGATAAAAAAAGGGGGGGGGGTGGGGAGGAAGGGGAAAGGGAGAAAGGGTGTTGTAGTCAGTAACCCGAGAGACTGGGAGACCCTCCCCTTCAACAGAAGCAATCTTAGCTATCTTGGTTTGAAAGCCCACTGATGCCAGCACCAGACTGTGCCTACACCATTTGAGAGGGAAAAGTACAAAATACAGAAGCATGAACTAGAAACATTAGATTATTTATGAGTGGGAGGAAAAAAAGATTACTTATGAGTACAAACAGAAAAAAGACCAGAAGGACATATTCCAAAATTAACAGTGGTTATCTCTGAGTGATGGGAAATAGTGATTGATATCCCCATTTTCATTTCTCTGTATTTTCTAAATTGTCTATAATAACATGCATTACTTTGACAAAGAAAGAAAACACCAATAGGTATTTTACAAAAAAGGAAGTGCCGGCCTACGAGGCAGAAGCACGCACCCAGCTCCTCCAGGGAGGGCACGCCGTAGGTTTCGTCATGGTTCTCCTGGATCTCGGCCGGGCAGCTCTCCATCTGATGTCTGGTCACGGAGGCCACAGGTTTCTTGGGCAGCTCCATGCGGCTGATGATGGCCTGAAAGCGCTTGTAGGTAAGTGGTGGCTTCTGTCCGTTTAGCTCGATGATCCTGGGAATCCCAAAGCACACTTAGCGTCACTCACAAGGCCTTTCATTTCAGGTCCCTGCCCGCCTCTCCCCATAAGAAGAGCTCAGCCCTAGCTGGTTTGGCTCAGTGGATAGAGCATCGGCCTGTGGACTGAAAGGTCCCGGGTTCGACTCCAGTCAAGGGCACATGCCCGGGTTGCGGGCTCCATCCCCAGTAGGGGGTGTGAAGGAGGCAGCCGATCAATGATTCTCTCTCATCGTTGATGTTTCTATCTCTCTCCCTCTTCCTTCCTCTCTGAAATCAATAAAAATATATTTTAAAAAAAAAAAGAAGAAGAGCCCAGACTTCAAAGGCTTAGAGGGTACCTTTCCTTATCTGCTCATAGGTCCTAGCCCTAAGTAGGAAGGAGAGGCAAGGGCAGCTATGCCTCCATTTTACCGAGAGGGAAATGAAGCCCAGGGAGCTGGAGCAGGTGCCTCAGGTAACGGAGCCAGGCAGGGCCAAGCTGGGACTCAGTCCCCACTGGCCTTCTGGATACTCGACCTGGCGGTCCAGCCAGGGGAATCCCCGTGGACCTTCTCTCTCCCCGCAGAGTAAGCCTTTGATAAGGGCTGCAAATGTGTTCCTTTGTGGGACAATCATTTCCCTGTTGGCCCGCATTTTCTAGAACAAAGAGGTGCAGAACAGCCTCCCCTCCCTAAACCGGAGACTGGGGCTGGGGTTATTAATAGCACAGCTAATACTTAAAGGGTATTTTGCCGTTTACAAAGTATTTTTTCACGAACAAGAGAAACATAGCTGTACTCGGGTAATAAGAAAAGATATAGGAGAGTGGAGAATTGAGGCTGTTTATATAAAGATGAATTGGGATGGGTTAGAGCCAGATTCCCGGGGCTATTGTTGGCCAAGAAGCAGCTTATGCAAACTGCCTGGCTGGGTGAGTTCATTTCTCAGTTCGGCTCTCTCTCCTCCTCTAGTGGAGATATGAGGCTGGCTGCAGGCCCTGCAGTACCTCCCCAGTCCTCCACACGTGGCAGGAGGAGGAGTTCCACACCCTGAGAGCTCAGCTCACGTGCAGAGCTGTGTGACCCACCTCCTGGCAGCTACCCACTGGGTTGGGGAGAGGGAGGTGGGGAGAAGCAGTGGCTGCCGGCTTGGCAGCAACAGCAGCAGCAGGAGGGTGACAACTCTGCCAGGGCAGGGGCGGAAAGGGTTTCCTCCTCGAATCTCTGAAAGCACAGAGGCCTGTCCCCAGGGAAGGAGGCCACTCTAGTTATCAGCTCCCTGCAGGGATCTCTAAATGCCTGACCTGGAAAACCAGATAGTCGGGGGAGCCCAGGGAACTTGTACTGGGTACAGAAACTGGACCTCTAAGAACAGAGATCCTAAGGGAGGGGTAACATTTAGGGTCCACTGAGGTCAGAGGGCAGCCTTTGAGGAGCAGGACTGGAGTGGGAGTATGAGGAGTGGATGGGACTGGAGCATATTAGGAGCAGGTCCGTGAAGACCTTCAGTGGGGATCCTCACCGCTCCATCTCTTGGGCCTAAAGAGCCTCTTTGCATCCAAGTCAGGTAAAGCTCTCTGTGACCTGTTCTACGAACCCAACTCTGGTCCATTTTCCTCCAGCTTCTAGAAAACTCCATACGTCATGTGTTAGGTGGCTCTATTGCTACACTGCCCTGAGTTCTGCTCAGCAAGGGCATAAAGCACCAACTCCCACCATTGGTAACCTGCCCCTGGGCCTATCTCTTACCTGTCCAGGTCATAGAGAGTATGAGAGTTCTCAGTCACCACCTCCACACCGGCCTCCTTGGCCATCTTCATGATGGCGGCATCCCGCTCTTTCCCAAAGGGTTCAGAGTCATATTCAAAGGTCAAGCGGGTCACCCCCCATTCCTGTGGAGAGAGAATCTGTTACAGGAAACACTGTGTGGGGAGGAGGGGGAAGCTGGGCACTGGGTGCTGGGCGCTCAGCTCCGTCCTGGGAAGGAACAGAGCGAGTCTGGAGACCTGTCAGAATGGGCTGCAGAACACACTGGGGACAGTGATTTGAACTGGAAAGTAAACCACCTGAGGTTCACAAGGTGTGAGGACAGGCCTTTGGGGCGAGGCTAAGGGCACAGCACCATGGGAGCCTGAGGCTAGTGGTCTCTGCGGAGTCAGGAGAGGTGGGTGCCCTGTGCACTGGCTGTGTCCTGGCGGTAGGAGAATGCAGCAGGAGGCTAGAAATACACTGCTTTCAGGGGAGCCCTGGCCCAGCAAGAGGCACTGACTCACTGGTGGAGACAGAGGAGGACGGGATTGCCTCCTCCCTCCTGCTGGGCAGGCCTTTCCCAGAGCTCCTCCCAGCCCTGCAAACTTCTGGCCTAGTTTTCTTGGCAGACCTGTACTATGTGTAGTGTCCTAATGGTTTCCACAGCAACACTCCTGAGGCCAGCAGCAAACAGCTAATAAACTCCAGCTCTCAGAGTCCGGAAAGAGGAACAAGCCTTAGTCCAGAGGTCACAGAAATCAAACAAGACAGGAGGCCACGTGTTAAAAAAGAAGGGAATTCTTTTCTAAGTATTTACTCTTTTTCTGATAGAAATTTCTAGATTTTCTAGCAATGTTGAAAGAAAGCTGGCCCTGTGAAAGGTTGTACAGATAACCCACAGAGCATGCAACTAGCAAAAAGAAAACCATATTCTAACCAAAGTCTCTGGTGATGGTGCATTAAAACTGTCAACCCCTTGGGGCAAATGTCCTGCCATGCACAGGCTGGTCTGGTCCTGACTCAGTCCTGCCTGGGGTGTGGGTCCCGTGCAGGGCTGGTTATCCTTGTGCAAGGATAATAGCACTAAACATCTATGAAGCCCTTACTATGAGCCAAGGACCAGGCTTAGCAGTTCATACAGATTACATTGTTAAATACTCATTACCTTGTGGATAACAGTAAAGTGCTATTAGATGACACCTTCTCCAAGAAGCCTTCCTTGACCTTCTCCTTCAATATGATTCTGCACCTTGCCCTTTTCCATCACAGCGTTTATTATATGGCAGTGAGGTTGCCCATTACCTGTCTGTTTACCCCATTAGAGTGTGAATTCTCAGAGCAGAAACCATGCGGTCTCATTCATCATTACCCTAGTGCCCAGTATGGGGCGTAGTACATAGTAGAAGCTCAATCAATATACTTTGAATGACTGATCTGTGTCTCTGGGCTGTACTAGGTTGGCCTTGGTGGTGCTGGGAGAGAGGGGGGCAATGCAGAAAGAGAGATGAGTGGCAAATGTTTAATGGTGTGGATGTTAAGAACACAACTTGGAGTCACAGAGCCTGGGCTCGAATGCTAGACCACCACTTCCTAGCTTCATGACCGTGAAGTTATAGTTTCCTCAGGGAAACTATAGGAGGGATAGCAGCACTTCCCTCTTAGGGCTGCTGTGAAAAATAAGTGAATTAACGTATGTAAAGCACTTACGTAAAACAGTGCCTGACTCATAGTCAGCCCTGAACGAAAGGTGGCTATTACCAGCACTGCGTGCTTTGTATATGTGCATTTGTGGGGAGGTGCAGGGAGGTGAAGTGAATGATGAAATGTTTACTGAGCTGCCAAACCTTTCCTCCTGTCTTATTCCCCAGAAAGAATAGGGAAGGAAGTTGGGTGGAGAGGGGCCTAAAAACAATGTGGGTGCTGAGGATGAGGGGAGACCACCCTAGAGCCCTCTGTCATGAGTACTTCTGCCTCTGTTTGGACTTTAAAATGAGCTTTATAAAGGGACTGGGGGGGAGGGGGAAGTGGGCTGGCTACTGATACAGCAAACAGGCCTGTGTGGAACCCACATAAAGATGTGATCAGCCACTTACCCAGGGGAAGCAGGGAAGCTCCCTCAGAAAGGCTGACTCTTTTCCCTATTAGCAGAGCAAAGAAAGACAGGAAACGCTCCTTGCTGAACAGGAAACCGCGCCCTCAGACTCCTGGCGTGGGAAGAGCCCTAATAAATCTTGCAGACTTGAGCCAAGGAAACATCCAGGGAAGCATCGGGGGTGGAATAACTTGCCACATCCCATGTCTGGACTGAGCTGGGAACTTTCCAGCAAGACACTGGTTACAGTGAATTTTTTCCTTAACACAGTTTCATTCTGTCGGCAAGCTGACCAGCCCTGACTGTTTCCATTTCCTCGGTCACAATATCATCTCATTTAGTTTGGGGGAAACCCGGGGAGCGGACTCTGACTGTCTTCTCTCAGACTCTGCGCACTTACCTTGAACAGCCTTGGGAACACATCCGCTGGCTGTCCCCGGACTACAAACAGGCGGGAGTTCAGTTTCCTTAAACTTGTATCCAAATCTTCCAGCGACTGAAGTAGGAACCTGCAGAGCCCACAAAGGCCTTGTTAGTGGTAACATCATAAAGAGTTGCTCTCTCTCCTAACTGTTTATGCCAAACAAGTAGCATCATTAGTACCAGAACCCAGAAGCCTAGGGTCTAGGTCAGCAGTGATATGGTCGGAGATCAACTGAAATCCTGGTTTTGCCACTTACTAGCCGCGTGACTTTAGGCAGTTACTTAACCTCTTTAGCTCGTTTTCTAACCTGCAGTGTGCAGTTGATATCAGTGCCTATCTAACATCAACTATAGAATTGCTAAGAAATGAAAATCAAATAATGCATGAAAACATATAAGACAGTGCCTGGCATAAAGAAAACCTGGGTTAAATGTGAGCTGCTTCTGCTCTTGTTGTTTCTCTGTGATCAGAAGCAAGTCACTTCTTCCCTCTCAGCCTCAGGCCCTGCGTCCACTCATCACAGGGCTATGAGAATCAAAAGGGAGAACAGATGAGAAAACCATCAGAAAAACAAGTGCAATATAGTGTGGTAGGGAAGGCTGAGGTCCTATTAGCAGAGTCGCATTAGCTCTGAAAAATCCTACCTACCCAGGTCCAACAGCTGCCCTGCCTTCTGCGGTCATGCTTTGGGCTGCGTGCATGTCTACTGCCCAGCCACACAGCCTGGGCGGGGTCCCCACTTCCCAGGGTTTTGTTTGGCAGGTGGTTCACTCTCCAGGGCTCTGGCCACCAGGTTCTTATCCAGAGGGAGAAGGCCATAGAAAGTACCCCTTTATAGGATATCCTCACATGCTTTCGGGATGGAGATTGGGTTGGGGTAGGGAACTCCAGATACTCACGTGACCTAGCCTGAGATCTGGATCATCAAGGGAAAGGGAAAGAAAATTAGCATTTGTTCATGCTTTCAGTGGTTTCAAGATTGTTTTATTATACTTTTATTAAAAATTTATTTATTGTTGTTAATCCTCACCAGAGGATATTTTTTTCATTAATTTTAAACTTTTTTTTTTTTTTAGGGAGAGTGGGAGAGAGGGAAAGACAGAGAGAAACATAAATGAGAGAGAAACACATCACTGGTTGCCTCCTGCATGTGCCCGGACCAGGGTCTGAGCTGGGGAGGAGCCTGCAACCAAGGTACATGCCCTTGACTGGAATGGAATCTAACCCGGGACCCTTTGGTCCACAGACCAATCCAGCTAGGGCTAAAGTTTTCTTATATGACCACAAAATTTACTAGCTGTTCAGCTAGGCAGAATCACCTTTCTGAGAAATTCCATCAATACATTTTATAATATGTGTTTCACTTTTAAATAAAATGAAATTAACATTTTAAACAGACAGCTATTCATATAGTTCAAAGTTCAAGGCACAAAAGGGTACAAAGTAAAAAGTTCCTCCCCCTGAGTCCCTAGGAATTTAAATTTCCCTCCCCAAAGGTGACCAATGTTATCAATGTTATTATATGACTGCTTTGCATTGTAAGTGTGTTTTCTTTTTAATTCCCTCAACACATTTTGAAGGGAAATAGTATCCTCACTTTAAAGATGAGGAAAATGAGACACAGAGAGGGTAATTACTAGCAATTTGCTTAAGATCACAATTATTAAGTGACGAAGCTGGGATTGGAGACTACCAGTCAAACTGTTTTCTTCTCTGTCCGCCATTTCTAAGGCTTCTTAGTGGCACAAACACTGCTCCAGGGGCTGAGATTCTGCAGGCCCTCACGTGTTTGGAGTCCCTCTCTGACAAACACAAACCTGACTGCAGGCATTCCACTGACATTCTGATCTTCCTCGGGAACTAAGGCCTGACAGGTCAGACTCCTGCTATCTACCCCTTAGCATCTCTGACAACAGCGGGAATCGCCAGATTTTATTTTGAGCACAGCAAAGCCCTGTGCCTCTGGGCCAGCACATCACATGCCCTAACTACAAACACGGCGACTGCTCCCAGGCTGCCAACTAGAACCCGCCCCCGCTGCTGCCTCTGATGTCAGCAAGCAACACTCCCACAGGGTGAATGCCACAGGCCCACATTCCAGCAGGAGCTGAGTCCAAAGCATCATGCTAGACAGAGAGCATGCAGAGACGCCCCAAGGGCTTGTGATGGGAGACTGATCCCCAAGGGGTTGCGACGGGAGACTGGCTGAATGGTGTGTATGCAAACCAAAAGCTCTGCCTCTGTGCATTTCTGTTTTTGAAAAGCTGACACCCTCAGAAAGGAAAGCTGAGAGACGAGTGACGCACTTGCATTGGCTTCCTCCCAAACCTCACCACTCCTCTCAGGAGGAAAAGAAGAAAACCATGTACACAGCCTCATGCCACCTGAAACCTGGGCCCTGCCACACAGAAAGCCTAGAGATAACTGGTGACACATTACACAATTACACAACCCCAGGACAGACTGTCCTCCATCTGGCTCCCGGGAATGTCCTTGCCATGCACTCTGGGGGCCTCTTCCTTCACAGTGCACCAGGTCGCATAGGACTTCCACTTGAAGCTGTAGATAAGGCTGACATGCACAGTTGAAAGCTATTTTCTAGCGCCTTCTATAGAACTTTATTTCTAAACTTCATGCACTAAAAGAAGAGATTCCTTGCAATATCTCTTAAGTATAGATAACCCCATGAGAATCCTTTTCATCTTTGACAAGAGATATCTATAGCTGAGGCAAGGAGCCGAAGGCCCAACTCTGCCAATAATGATAATAATAGCAACAATGAACATTTAAGGAGCATTTACAATAAATGAAGCACTGTTCTACTTGTTTTACATACATTGCCTCATTTTACAGATGAGGAAACAGGCACCAAAGAGATTAAGTAATTTGCCCAACTCACACCTAAATAAATGGCCGGAAGTCAAACCCAGGCAGGTGTGTCAGCATCTACCTTCTTAACCACCAGGCTCCGCTGCCTCTTGCCAGGACTCCCTGCCTGAGCACTGACGCTACGCTGCCCAGGACCTTTGCTCCCAGACCCTTGCTCCTCTGAGGATCAACGTCGTGACCTACCCAGAAGCTTGGTGAAACTCAGACTCTCAAAAGCTCCATCCCAGACCTCCAGGATCAGATTCTGCATTGTAGCAAGATCCTTGGTAAATCCTTTGCACATGAGTCTCAGAAGCACTGTTCCAGAAAACAGAACCTTACTCCTGGCTCTGTTTATAAGTTGACTTTCTTCTCTTCTCATTTGTTTCACTAAACTTTCTCTCTTTGAGATCCTGGTTTCTGCCTCTGCTTTGGCATTCTAGAATATTATTACTTCCAACTCCCTCTTTCCCCAAGCCCTGCAGGGCTCCTCCAGGAAGGGAGGCTCGGGATGGCTCCCCCAGGAGGCAACAGGCCTCTAGGAGCCCCGGCCTTCAGGCAGCCAGAGAAAGAGAAGCCACAGCTATAGCACCCTCTTCGAGACTTGCCAAGTGACAGCTTTGCATAACGCCAAAGGAGCCCCGAGCAGAGCTGCTGCTGGACAAATGCTCATTGGGGCAGGTGTGTGCACAGAAGCTTGGGCCTTTTGTGCTCCCCTAGAGCCCTTCTCTCCACCTGGCCAGTTTCTCTTTATTTCAATGAGGGGGTGCTCTAAAGAAAACTGGCCTGGGCTGTGGAGATGGCAGTGCTTGGGCTGGTAGCTCACCCTTGGCAGCTCCGAGCTGAGCTCACATGGCCAAAATTCAGGGCACACGGTCCTGTGTGAGCAGTTAAAGCTCACCCTTCAGATCAGACATGTGCAACTGAATTACATTACATAAATGCTCTGGAGCCAGGGGCAGACAGCACTGGAGAAAACCAAATTGGCATTTCCAAAAATACAGAGAGGACCCTGTAATTCGTGACTCCATGGGGCTAGCCCTTTAGATAAGACAGGCAGATCCTTGGGCTGAGAATGAGACAAGCAGATATTTAAGGAAGGCCTTCCTAGAGATGGCAGATTCTGTGCTGAGGAGTATTTTATTTGTTAATAGGAGGAGAGAGGATGATAGTGAATTCTTTTTTTGGTCCAGGACATCCTTGATCAAGTTTCTCTGCTTTCAAGCCAAGGTTATCTAACTACGATGATATCATAGGCTCACTCAACCTGGACACAGAGAACATTAATAGACATTAATTTCTCCTAAGTAAGAGAGGGTATTAACCCCATAGAAAGGATAACACAAACTCACAACCCATATCACGGATTGATCCCTAAGTATCACGCAGGTAAAAATATATTTATTCTTTCCTAATTTCAAAGAGAAAGATGAAGATGAATCTTTTCATCTCTTTGGGGAAAATGAAAACATTTCCTCAGCAGCAGAACCTTAAAGTGACATGCTCATTACCAGTGCAAACGGCTCAGAGAAAAACAAATTTCCCAGCCACGGACGATGGCTCCCAGTCCCCTTCTTGCTGACTGAATTCCAGGGAGGAACCACCCACGTCGCTGACAGCCCAGCAGCATTAGGTCCCCGTGCTGGGGAGAGAGACACATTGTTCTCACCGGCATTCTCGGGCATTTGCAGTTTACATCAGTTATTAATTCTGAGCCCTGTGGGCTGACACTTGATTTCTACCAACTCCCTCTATCCCAGAAGCCCCTGAACGCAGGTGCGGCACAGAGCCAGGGAGAAAACGGCTGAAATAAAAAGTGAGGGGAATTGTTGCCAGCACCTATCTAAGTTGCATTAGGGAGAGAAGGTATCTACAAGGGCCTACTTTGAGTACCTATTTTTAAGTCTAGAAGCTGCTCACAACCCATCATTTTTCCCGTTTCTTTTGTTCTCACTGCAGTACCTCCTTCCAGATGCATGGCAAAGGGCTGCCATGGCTGGGTGATTCAGTTGGTTGGAGCATCATCCTGGACACCAAACGGTTTTGGGTTCAATCCCCGGCCGGGGCACGTAAAGGAAGCAACTAATAGATGTTTCTTTCCCCTCTCTCTCTGTCTCTTTCCCCTTTCATCTCTCTCTAAAATCAATAAACATACCCTCAGGTAAGGATTAAAAAATAAAAAGGCTATAAAGGACTTAGCCAACTAGTGCTCCACAAAAGAAAGTCCTGAGACACATACAGCTACAATTAGCTCATAAACTTCCCACTACCACCAAGGCTAGGAGTATGCTGGTCCTTTCCCTATACTAATAAATATACATATTTCTTGATTGCCTGTCTCAGTCTTCTTTTACTCTTAGGAAGTGCCATTCATGGTTATCTTAATCTGATTCATTTGCCCCAAAATGCTGTGAGGGAGGCAGCGTAGAAGGTGCAGGAGGACAATAGAGATCACAGATTGTGCCCACCCCCCCTAGCAGATGGTCCAGGGCCCACCCTTTCTGCGGAGGCTTCTCAGAGGCAGCAGCTGAAGTGTTTGCAGAGCTAGGACGTCACGCTGCAGCACAATTCTCCCAGACCACTCCCAGATCCAGAAACAGCCACCGGAAGATTCAAACACTGCAGTTATGCAGAGGTACTGCTGGCTCCATCACTCCCCCAACCCCCAACCATGCGCATAAAGCAGTCTGCAGCTCGGCCCTCCATCTGATTATGGGAGCAGAGAGTGTGGTTAGGTGGGAGTAGTAGGAGTGTTTCCAGGCCCAGGAGCAGTTACCATATTCGACTTGTTTTGTATTATTTCACCTGTTTCTTCCGAATGCCAAAACTAAAGCCTTCCTGCCAATGCACTGCGACATTTACCAAGTTGTCAGGCTCAGGTTTGTGGTTCTCTAGTCCAGTGCTTCTCAGGCCTTGCCCCACAGGAGAGCCTTAAAAACCCTAGTGCCCAGGCCATTACCTAGAACCGTGGTCGGCAAACTGCGGCTCGCGAGCCACATGCGGCTCTTTGGCCCCTTCAGTATGGCTCTTCCTAAGCCTTAGGAGTACCCTAATTAAGTTAATAACAATGTACCTACCTATATAGTTTAAGTTTTAAAAAATTTGGCTCTCAAAAGAAATTTCAATCGTTGTACTGTTGATATTTGGCTCTGCTGACTAATGAGTTTGCCGACCACTGACTTAGAACAGTTAAGTCGGAGCTGGGGGAAGAAGGAGCCCAGGCATCTTTTAAGGATCCTGCAGTGATTCCCATGTGCAGCAAGACAGAACCACTGCGCTAGTTCATCCCCTATCTTTATTTATTTCATGACATTTAGTTCTACTAAATTACGGTTGTTTACTTGTCTTCCTCCATTAAAATGTCGGCTCCGGACTCTGGACACCACAATGCTTGTTCCCTGCTGTGTCCTAGTAGCATCTAGAGCAGTGTCTGGTACTCACTAATTGCTCAAATAACATCTGCATTGCTGCTCAGCCTCTGACTTCAGGACTGGACTCGGGCATCAGCTGCTATACCCTTTTCTCTTTTCAGTGGCTGGAAAGCACAACCACAAAAGGGTGACCCACAAAAATCCATAAATACCTTATTCCTAGCAAATCTGAATTTAATTAACAAGTTTTTGTTGTTGATTTTTTTAAAAAAAGTACTTTTATTGGTTTCAGAGAGGAAGAGAGAGGGAGATAGAAACACCAATGCCGAGAGAGAATCATTGATTGGTTGACTGGTTGCCTCCTGCACCCAGGCATGTGTCCTTGACCAGAATTGAACCCAGGACCCTTCAGTCCACAGGCTAACGCTCTATCCACACAGGTAGGAGCTGTTGTTGATTTTTAACCTCCACTACCACAAAGGAGCAGGCAGTCCTATGCAATGTCCCCCACAACCCAATAAAAGAAGAAACTGCTTTGTGACAATGTAACAAGCAGGTAGCCTTATTCTATTGACTCTGCTCTGGCTGGCACACTGCCACAAGAAGACAGGCAAAGTCTGAGGCTTGGTTTAATGTCCATGGTAGAGATGGCCATTTGAGGATGTTTGTCAAACCCAAGCTCCTATCTATGGAAACTGGAGCAGAGGCAGAGCAATAGAGCAGGTGAAAATGGTGTGGGCAGGCTCTCCACGGGACTGATTTTAGTCATTCCCTCTACATAAATGGGCAGGAGGGGGCATTTCATAGACCCACCGCGAGGAGCACTTACTCCCTTGGAAGGGCACACACCCTGGGAGGAAAGAATGGTGTGCTGAGAGCCACTGTATCCTGGGAATAACCCTGCCTATCAGTGCAACAGGGCCACCAGCAAACACCGCCCCCCCGAACAACGCAAACAAACCAGATGACTTTAAAGAGAGACTGGTACACGGTGTCTCAACACTCCTTGGTTTTCAACACTGGTTACAGGGAAAATACATCTACCTCAGTTACTCCTTTCCCATGATTCTGTGGAGTCATCAAAGAGGGCCTTTGATATCAGCTTTGCTGCTCCCTAATCTTAGCAATCAGTTGTTAAAAAGCTAATCCATAGTGGCTTAACTGTCCTTTAAAATCAATCAGGTTATGGGGTGGGGCCACAACATTAGTAACAAAGAAACAGAATTTCCGGAGGATGAGGCCCAGAAATCAGGATTTTAAAAAGATTCCCAGGTGATTCTAATGTGCAGACAAGGTTGAGAACCACTGCTCTAGACACCTTCAGCGGCAGGACAGTCTTGGGGGAAGGAAGCCAGGATGGTGAAAGGACAGATTCAAACAATCCAGAGGCTTGGAAATGACCGCCAGGAGTCCAGCAATGGGCTCTCTACTTGAAGAATGCAATCATCTTTGTGCCATAGATTCAGAGACCCGACCCAACCCTCACCCCGTAATTCATATCTCCTTTCCTCCCCTCCCTGGGCACGAAGAGCCCCGTGCCCCTCACTGGCTACAGGACCTTGGGCAGGTAACTCCGTGTCTCTGAGGCTTAAGGTCTCATCTGCACAACGGGGATCATGACCCCTGTCCCGCAGGAATGTCTGCGGCCCAGAGAGGAGGACACACAGTGTGGGAGCACTTGTCGGAGGTCCAGCCCTGGGCCGCCCGGGCCATCGGTGCGATGACCAACTGCTTCCTGGTCCCGGGTTCTTCTCTGGAGACCGACTCCATCTCCCGGCCCCACGGCCGGCCGTGGGAACTGGCGGGCAGGACCTCTCCCTCCTGGGGAGCCCCAGAGGCTAGGCTGCGTCCCTCCGAGCCCGCGACCCCACCCCGGGCCCCCTCACCTCCATCTATTGATCCCGACCGAGGAGGAGGCCGCGAACCAAGGGTCCAGGATGTAAACGCAGCGCACACAGCGCGCCCCGCGCACTGCCGCCAGCAGCGCCGGGTTGTCGTGGAGCCGAAGCCCCTTGCGGAACCAATGCACTGAGGAGGCGCCATCTGTGCCGGCCGCTGGCGCTGGGGCCGCCGCTGCTGCCGTCACCGCATTCGCCGCCATCGCCGCCCTGACTGTGCCGGCCACGGCCTCTCCGCCCCTGTCAGAGCTATGGGCCACGCCCCCACCCGCCCAGTGACCTATGACGCCGCCGCTCCTCTCTGTGTCCCCGCCCCTCGGGCTCTGAAGCATCTCTACCATTGGCTGAGAACCTCCCGCCGGGCCATTGGTCCACCGGCGCCAAGTCAGGCCCCGCCCCCTCACGTTCACACCATGTGTCCGCTGGCCTGCGAGCGGCGGGCGGGCCGGTGTGGTGACGCAGGCTGGAGCTCCCCGCGGAGATCTGGGCGCGGACCAGGCAGAGTCTCGAGGGACAGCGGATCTCCTGTTTGCGTCCTGTTCAAGGCCTGTCGCTGGAAGAAGCTGCCTGGGCTTGGGCGGGGGTGGGGGGGGGTGGGGGTGGGGGGGGTGGAGAGAATGGGGGGGAAGGGAGGGTTGCTGTCACTACGGACAATGACCTACAGAACTGACAACCCTTCGGCCTGCATCACCACGTAATCAAAGTCGTCTTCATTATCTACCGCAATTACATCATCTACAATATTCTACCACAGCCACCATTTATTGAGCGCATTTTATATGCCAAACAACGTGATAATTTCCTTATGTATACTGTCTCATGTACTACTCTTATCCCAGGCCAGTTGCATTCATTCAGCACAGCACAGTGAAAGAGTTGTTATTCTCGTTTTACAGACAAGTAAATTTTGAGGCTGCCGTAGGTTGAGTGACTTGCTCAATATCATAAGAGGACTCCAGCCAGATTATTGTGATTCCTCATCTTCTGCTTTTATCCAGAAAGCTATACTTCCATCTGTGCTGAGCAACTTGACATTTGCAAGTGGCCTAGTCTGAGGAGGGGAGGGGGTGCCCTGATGGGCAGCAGTAGAGGGCTGGGGAGTAGAGACTGGGAATGTGGAGGGTGTGGGTTGAGATAGGAATTATGCCATCAGATGAACTTACTTTCTTCTAGTTCTATGTTTAGTAGACCCAATGGTACCATTGTGCACAAACACTACTGGACTTTCCTGTGGGATTTAGAGATGTGAAGGACACTGTTGCCCCTCCTGACCGGGGGGCCAGATGGAGCCCTCTTATTCTTTTGGAGGCTAGCACTGGGCTTGCTGATTAACTGACAATGGCAAGGGAAGCATACGAACACCTGCAATGCCGTGTTGACGGTAGGCTGAAATGGTCTGGCCATGTTGGAACTCTGGGGTTATCAAGTGGCGAACAGTCTGTTTTCATTTTGGCGCTGTTGTGCCCATGCTTGGAACCCCTCCTGATCCTGGGAATGAGTAATGAAGAAATTTAGAAATTCACTGCCATTGATTGGCACCACTCTACACAACAGAGTGTCATTTTAATCCTAGGCTCCCTTTCATTTCCAGAGTTTTGCACAAGCTGTTCCCTCAAGCCTGGGTCACACTCCCCACCCCACCTCCTTTCTAATTCCAGTTGGCCCGATGTCACTGCTCGGTATAAATGTCACCCTCTTGCTGTCTGGTCCCAGCCTGCATAGTGCCCCCATCTGGTTCTCTGCTTCTTATTACTGGTCTTAGTACATAGTTCTAGAATTTCTTACTTGTGTTACTTGTATGTCTGTCCATTAGACTAGAAACTCCTAGAGGACAGGGACCATGCCTTATTTACAGTTTTATTTCCAGGGTCTAGCTCAGTGCTTGGCACTTAATGGAGTAAAGGTTGAACAGGGATAGAGTTTCGGGTTGGCGGAACCTAACGGTTTATCCTAGTCCTGATCCTGTTCTTATTTTTGAGTCCCCTCTCCAAATGCTTACTGAACAAATAGCTGCCACCTCTTGTCACTTTTGAGGCTTTCTATTCCCCCTCTCCTATCCCTTTTCTTTCCACAAGGTTGATGGTCTTCTAGGAATGGAACAGAGAGTTTAAGAAGATGGTTATTCCCTATCGCTTCAAAGATGGGTACTCATCCTTTTCTCTTCTGCACTCCCAAGATGCTTTCTCTGTAGACTGTTATCTCCATGAGGGCAGGGACTGTGGTTATCTTGCTCATCAGTGTGTTCCCAGCACCTAGTTCGGTACCTGACATGTAGTAGGTTCGCAATAAATGATGAATACCATTTATCCCTATCTTATTAGGCTATTATGGGAGGCAGTGTTGTATAGTGGTTAGGCCCAAGGTCTTGCACATTTGGAATGGCTGTGTTCAAATTCTGGTTCTACTTTGACTCTGCGTGACTTTGGTAAGATAGTTAATTTCTCTCTTCCCCTCTTTCTTAACCTATACAATAAGGATGATAATAGTAGCTAAGATATAGTTTGCATTAAGGTGTCAGCTATTCTTATTCTGCACAGCAGAATTTGCTTTTGTCTTCCTTGCAACACCTCACCCTTGGTCTTACACATAATGTGTGCTCTAGTAGTTGCTGAGTGAATGAAAGATTTTACTCATTTCTAAGCAACACTCAAAATTATATTAATAATGAAAAATAAACAGAAGTAATCACCATCAATCCCCCCAAATAAATTATTTTTATCTTTATATTGCCTCCTAGACTTTGTCCACAAATACCTTTTTATAGCTTTATTCAAAGCACAGGTGCAGTATTGCATGCATTTTGAAATATATTTTTTATTGATTTCAGAGAGTAAGGGAGAGGGAGAGAGAGAGAGAAACATCAATGATGAGAGAGAATCATTGATTGGCTGCTTCCTGCACACCCCACACTGGGGATTGAGCCCGCACCCAGGCAGTTTTAAACAAAATATTGAGCATGTTCTATTTTGCTGAGTCATTGTCTTGAATAACGATATAATTCATCAACTTGATAAAGATGAATTATTTTATTGAATGATTACCTATTGCCTGGGTACATTAGCAGCGTAACTTTCAAGAAGCAGGAATTAAGTCTGGCACTGGATAGAATACAGGAGTGCAACGTCAACTTTTGGACTTTAAACTTTAAAAGAGACATGGAGAAATTGGAGAGACCAAAGGAACGTGTAAATTGCTAAGAATTGAGACTTGACTCCATAGCTATATACCTCGCTATTTACAAGCATCTCTGAAGAGCGGTTGCATGAGGATGCCAAACAGTCGCTCCTTGTTTCCACTAAGGGTAGAACAAAGAATCTAGTCTATGTTGGGAAAAGTAAGAGATTTAAGGAGGGACTTTGTGTAAAGTACTTTAGGAATGAGAGAACTTAGCAGGGTAGTGGGAAGTTTCTTTCCTTGCTGAAAATGTTGAAAACGACAGAGATCAGTTCTGTTTGTCTTTTTGTTACAGGCCTGCTTAGAAACTGGATTAGGCAACTTTTGCATTCTCTTGGCACTACGTTTTGGGTAAATATTTGATGATTGGTTGAAAGGTAACTAGGGGCGGGGGAATGTCCCTAGCAAGTCCAAGTTACCCGCGCCCTCTAGTGGTGGGACTGGGAAAAAGCGGCGGCTCAGTCCTAGGCTGCACCCTTCTTTCTCCCTTTAGTTAAGCTGTACACTCAGCAGAGTTGCGGCAGCGGCTTCTTATTTCCAAGACTTAAGGCGGAGAAACTTGAGAACATGGACCTAAAAGCCAGACTCCTTGGGTTCCATTTCCAGCTCTGTCTTTAACTAGCAAATTACGTACTTGAGCAGGTTACATAGCCTCTCCGTGCCTCAGTTTCCTCATTTGTAAAATGGGGATGATGATGATGATGATGATGATGATGATGATGATGATACAAGGGCAGCATGGCATTGGAGCAAGATAAATAGGCAAAAATCTCAGAATTGAGAATCCAGAAACAGATCCTCACATATGTGGTATTTTATTCATGACAAAAATGTCTGTGTAAAGGAGTGGGATAGCGGTGGTTTTTCCCATAATGGTATACCAGTCAGATATACCGATGTAAAAACTTTAAACTTGACCTCTATTTCAGAACATACAAACCAATTCCAGGTAAATGGAATTGATGTGAAAGGTAAACCAGCAAAGCTTTGAGAAGATTATACATAGAGGAAGACATCCTTATGACCTTGGAATAGACAAAAAAAATCTTAAATAAGACATGGAAAGGAAAAGATGGATACATTGAACTACATTAAAATTATAAACTTCTGTTTATCAAAAACATTATTTGAAAAGGCAAACCATGGAATGGAAGAAGAGAGTTGTCGCACATAATTCTTAAAGATCTCAAATCCAGAATATTTAAAGAACCTTTACAAGCAAAAAGATAAGGAAGACAGGCAACCCAATATGAGACTTGTTGAAGGCCAGAGACCTGAACAGACTCTATCTTCTCCCTCACCAAGAATATATAAGTGGCCAATGCATTTGTCAAACATCCAGGGAGGAGGCAGCTTTGGCTCGGGTTGCACGCTGATAACCTTGAGACATGGGCAAGTGAGTACTTTTCTGATCTTTGCCACTGCGGACTAAGAGTGTACAGGGTGTTCCTTCCAGACCAGGTGTGGCCACAGGACTGTGGGCCCAGTGGCTGGTGGGAGGGGTGGGGGTGGGTGCCTATGCCCAGATCCCTGGGGATGCTATCGCTTAGGAAAGCTGCATTCAGTTCTCCCCTGGGAGCAAGTTCCTAATAAAAGCAAAGGCATGAAAGCAAAACCTGGGGAGGCGTGTCACCTTTCTATACCATTTGACTTTTAAAAAATACACACTGTTCCTTTTGTGGTTGGTCAATTAACACATTTCTCCAAAAGATGTTAGGTTAACAAACTAACTTTTAAAAAAATTGCCGAAACCGGTTTGGCTCAGTGGATAGAGTGTCGGCCTGCGGACTGAAAGGTCCCGGGTTCGATACCGGTCAAGGGCATGTACCTGGGTTTCGGGCACATCCCCAGTAGGGAGTGTGCAGGAGGCAGCTGATCGATGTTTCTCTATCATCGATGTTTCTAACTCTCTATCTCTCTTCCTTCCTCTCTGTAAAAAATCAATAAAATATATTTTAAAAAAAAATCCCAAGGATGCCCTAGACCAGCGGTTCTTAACCTGTGGGTCGTGACCCCTTTGGGGGTCGAACGACCCTTTCATAGGGGTCGCCTAAGACCATCGGAAAACACATATATAATTACATATTGTTTACAGTAGCAAAATTACA